TGCTGCTTCCCCACCTCCCCAGTACCGAAGCCATCTCGAAGGAAAATTGGGAGTTTTCTCCTTCTCGGCAGCCTTCCTCCTCTTCCTCAGCCTCCATCCCTGGCGCTGTCCCTTCTTGCAGCCTTCCTCACCCTCTTTCCCCATCATGGAAGCTCGTCAGCCCGTTACATCCTCCTAACGTGCCGTTTGTTTGCTTTCCTCCTCAGGCTCCCACTGATTTTTTTCATCCGTCCGCGGCGTGCTGATCAAGATGGAAATCCAGGTTTGGTGCCTGTGCCCCTCGCGAGCCTCGGCGGGGGCAGGGTGAGAGCGGCTTGCGCTCGAAAATCCTTGACCTGTGCGGAGGGAGCGGGGAGTTGCTGTGGGTTGTCGGTAATTCCGCTGCTGCCACGCCAAAGGAATCCTAGTTCATGCGAAACAGGTGAAAAATACGTAGAATCGCCAGCCCCAAAGGGGCAGGGTGTGGAACCGGAGCTTGAAAAACACCCAAGCCAACGTTGCGAGGCTTTCAAAAGTGAGAACTGGCAGCAAACGCTGGAAACTTAGAGGTTTTTGTAAAAGCGTATGGAAATGTGCAATGCCTGAGCTATAACAAGAACGAAAATGCGTGCTAGACTCCAAAACTAATGTGGGTTTAGCTGAAAACCGGCGTTTTTCAGGTGATAGTGGGGAACCTACGTAGGCTTTTCGCATCAAGCCTGTGTATCTGTAGTCTGATCGAAGCAAGGCACAAATCAGCGTGTGTGTGTGTGTTAGCTGCGAGGAAACGAACCGTGTTTGTGTCGGGGCAAGAGCTGGATCCTCTCTAGGGAAAGCAGCATCGGCCCTCAGAAGGTGAAGCTCGAGCGGCCGTTGTGCCAGCGGGTGCTGGGCAGGGGTTGTTCACCTTTGCGGTCACGCGTCTTCTCCCTTTAAGTAGCGTCATAGTCGCTGCTGGGGCGCGGAATAAAATCTTGGAAGGGAGGTCAAGGCGTGCTTGAACTATAAAATAGCGACTCCTCTCTTGTCACTTGTGAAGTGTGGGATTTCCCCATCCTACATTTCTGCTGAAATCAGTGGAATTTTTCTACTGGAGTAGTAGCGGTGGTGTAAAAACGCCTCGAAGTGAGAGCAAATGGTTCGTTAGTTATGCAGCCTCTCCTTTTCAGAAGTCAGCGTTGTTTGTACAAAACTCATTAATTTTTGTTACCAAGTTTTTTAATTGTTTTTTTTCTAGCAACAGCGGATTACTTAACGATTAACCTACAAATGGTGGTAAATCAGTGAGTTTTAGGATATAGGTTGAAGTCGTCTGCGTTGTCTGACGTCAGTATTGCATAATCTGTTGACTGTCCCCTTTTTATGTAATGTATGTTTGTAGTTTGTTTCAAAATGTACAAATATTTTTTTCCACTGCGTGCTTCTCCTCAGATATTCCATCTTTGTCTCTCCATTGCCCTCTTGAGTTAAAAACTTGTAAGGCACCATTTTGACAGCCGGAGCCAGCGGACCGTTACGTATTTGTCTTGTAAAAGCAGTCTCCGTCGCATCCTGGGATGTGGTCCTTTCCAGGTAAGTTTAGTTTTGCACTGCTTTTGGAGTTTCTGCTTCCTCCTGGTAGAAACATGAGAGCAGCTTGGACTGGTGGACTCCATCAACATCATCAATTAACTTTTTAGAAAAACTTAGTAACATATTAACTTCTAGTATGTAAAACCATTGCGTTTCTTAAACTCATTTCAGAATTTGATTCCCTTAACCAAAGGGGAGGGTGCTGTAGGAATAGTTCTATGATCTTCTCAGCAATGCCTGTTTTTAGGGAAGCAAAAAAGGCAGGGGTTGTGTAAAATATAGGTAAGCTTTTAATTTAACGAGTTTGCAGTGGAATTGTTTCTTTCACAATTTTGTATTTGGATCCCGTGACCTAAAAATACCGGCTGCATACCTGAAGCCCCTCAAGCCCTGAAGCCCCTCTCCAGCTGCGGTCCCCTGTGAGCACAGCTGGCTGCCCGGCGTTGGGCGCTGCCCCGTCGACGCCGTCGGCAGGCACGGGAACGGGCGTCTGCGATGCCGGCTCTGGAATCACATGTGACAAACTCCGCCGGGGTCCAGCTGAATGAGTTTGCGGTGCTGTAAAATTCCACAGCTCTGCTGGCGAAAGCCTGGCGGGCTCGGCGCGGTGTGCAGCGTGGTCGCGGCGCTGCCCTCGTACTCGTGCTGTTGGTGATCCCGCTCCTCGGGTGTCGCAAGCGATGTAGCTCCATGAACTTGCCTGGCTCTCTGCCATCGCGCCCACTGTCTGGTTCATGGCGTTCAGCGCTTAAGAAGCGTAAACCAAATGCTTCTCCCTAGCTCTGGTGAATGTAAGGGGGGAGAGAGGGGTGCCCCCAGTCTCTGGAGTGATACTGGTCGAGCGGTCACCCTTTCTGCATGAAATCCAGCATGGCTGGATTTGGCCAGAAGAAGCTGCTACTTAAAAACACTTTGAGCTGCATTACAGAAGCCACCGTGGTCATTAAGATGGCACTGATTATCTGGATCATTTCTGGAAACCTCAGCTGCAAAACGGCTTCTGGTAGATGCTCCTGAGCCTTTCCCCTGGCAGCTGGGTGTCTCTTGGCGTGATGCGGGGTGCTGGAGGAGACGGAGGCCGGGCCCGCTGGGCTCGGCAGCAGGGCAGAGGGGCCGCGATGACTGACAGGCTGCCCTGGCTCAGTTATCACAGTGCTGATGCTGTCTCTTGTAAAGGTACAGTACTGTGATAACTGAAGGATGGCAGCCATCTGAGCTTCACGGGGACCCTCGCTGCCCCCCGGGGACAGGCGGGCTGATGCGTGTGCAGCGCAGCGTCTGCTGAAGTGGAGTGTCCTCGTTTAAATGTACCCCTTTGCAAGAAAACGTTATTTGAATAAAATATACTTTTTGAGAGTTTGCCTGTTAAATGACTGTTTTGCCTTGGAAGATCTTCCAGAAATGCCGTGCTTTGGAAATCTTCAGGAATGGTCCAGAAAGGATCTGGTACAGAATGTTCGGGGTTGGAAGGGACCTCTGTGGGTCATCTAGTCCAACCCTCCTGCCGAAGCAGGGTCACAGAAGAGCAGAGGAGTGGGTCACTGAGTAATGCTCGGTACCAGAACAAACAGGAATGACTGTAGCAATGCTGAAAACAAAGCCCTTTTTGGGTACTTTTAATACTTCTTCTTACAGATGCCACAGGCTTGGCTAACTATTCTCCGGACTCGTTCTCTGTACATCTCAGTACACGGGAATTGGTGGTGGGACACCGGTTGCGCCACAGTCCGGCCAGCACGGTAGGGTGATGCAGTGGGTTGTTAGTGGTGCGGCTGGCACAGCCCCTTGCAGGGTTTGCTTGGGGCTCCTCCACCCCGCTGCGTGGGAGACGGCGAATTTCCCGGGTAATTTCTGTACCAGCTTCATCAAAATACCTAGAAAGGCGGAGGTTTTTCAGGGAGCCCGCTCTCGGCTGG